GCTGGGGCCCGGCCCGAAGGCCCCTTCCCTGCCTGGTCCCTGCAGCCGTGGGATGCGGGGCCGGGGGCCTCTGCGGGGGGAAGGGCCGGAAAGCGGGGAGCTCCCTCGGAGAACGAGTGGTGCCTGGAGGTGGGCAGCTGACTCTGGTGTCTTTGGGTTGTAGGGCCGTTTTCTTGCCTTCTGTTTGTTTTGGTTTTAAATGACAGTCAATTTTGCTTTTTACGAGCGCTTTAAGATGCTCCGGTCCTCTGCTGTTTGTTCCTGCTACCTCGATGCTGCATTTGTAGCTTCATAAATTACTGACTTGGTAGGACAGACTTTTTATATCCATCAGCTATGAATGGAAACTTTCTCCACAAGCTGATAGTCTGCTTCGGCAGGGTCTTGCCCTCCGTTTCTTTTTCCTGCAAGGACATTTGTTCTTAGTTGTGCTGCTGACCAGTGGCGTTTTTTGTGGCAGTACAGTAAATGAAGTGGGCAAGAAGTAGTGGTGGCCAGGTGGGCACCAAAGACTTTAAATGTTCTCTTCATGTCTATGTACTTGTTTTTAAATTTTCATTCGTGTGGCCATTATTTGTGTGTACAAAGCAAAATTAGCCTATTTTGCTGTGATTGCAAACTCAGCCTATTTGCTGTGATTGCAGGAACTTCTGTGAAATAAGCTGTGTTGTTTGGCTTACTGTGTGAAGTTTTGCGGTTTTATCAGCTCAAAACCCAATGTGATATCTTTCTAAATTGTAGGTTCTTGAGTGTGGAGTTTGTGAAGATGTGTTTTCTTTGCAAGGTGACAAAGTTCCCCGACTGCTTTTGTGTGGCCACACTGTTTGTCATGACTGTCTTACCCGGCTTCCCCTTCATGGCAGAGCAGTGCGTTGTCCTTTCGATCGGCAAGTTACTGAAATAGGTAAGAAAACCTAAGTTTAAAGTTCTTAAAACTTGTCAGTGAAGGATATACAGAAGGTAATGCTAGATACAGATTCTTAATGCTCAGCTTAGTGATCGCATTTCCAAGAATGGAATATGCAGTGTTCCTTCTCATTCAAAGAAGCTCATAGCACTGTTAAGCACTAGTAAAGTAGGTGTCACAGAAAGAGAAAGTGACGATTTTATCTTCTTGCATGTGGGCTTGCAAGCTTTATACCTGGAAGCCTGTTTGTACACCTGAATTTGCAAAGGCAGTGCTTTATTTTAAATTAGTGTCTAAGGGTTCCTGAATGAGTATTAACTTCCTGTTGTCCTGAACACTTTAATAAACCACTCAGGTAGGTAGGTAATTTCTTCTACAAAATGCTTTGTCCGGATTCATGATGAAGTGATGTAGAGGAAAATATCAGTGATAACAAACTTGGTTTTTTATATGTAAAGCAATTTTATATATACTGTAACGGTTAGTGGTAGGCTATCTACAGGAATTTCCTGCTGTAGCAGTGTTTGCAGAGTGTATTTGAAAGAGTAAGATACAGCTCTTACCTAACAGTGAAGTTTATTTTAGGCAAAAGGTGACACATTTTATAATTCCTTCAGAATTTGATATAGAGTTATAGAGAAGAAGAGCTAGCAGAAGAATTTGTGGTGAGAACTTGTTAGTAGAGCTGCTTCAACAGTTTTAACTAGCACAGCAGAAAAAAGCTGTTGGAAGGAGAAGAATCCTCAGATAAGGAGATCTCCAATCTAGTAGTCCATGAAAGAAATTTTTAACTATCAAATTTGCTCAATTAAGAATTCACTTGGTAGTAAGAGAATCTACTAGATTGGAGACCAAACTTAGGAATATTAAAACACTCTCTAGGATGCTTCTAAGAAAATAGGAGTCTGGAAAAGAAATACTAGTTTTGTATAAAAGAGGGGATTGTTTTCTGGGGGGAGGGAGGTAGTAAGTTGAGCATCATGAATGATTGCCAATCTGTAGTTAGAAGAGTCACAATTTGTTTTACTTTACAGTTGCACAAGATTTCTTAAAGTATGCTTTTAAGGGGGAGAGTGTAAGAGCAGGACACTCAGTGCTGCTGATGTGAAACATTTCTGCCCAAGGCTACCACTTATATCTTAGAAAGGAAAAGTCGCATTTTTATTATGATAGGGAACTCGTTGCTTCTTAGTTTTGCTGTGCATTTTTTTCCTAGGCATCTGAAAATATCCTATTATTAATTTTTGCAGTTCCAGGTTTAACAAAAATGAAGCTTTATAAAAACATTTGAAGCTTTTTCGTCTTATATAACACTGAGGTTCTGATGAAACACAGTGAAACGTTATTAAACTTCTAAGGCTTCAATGGATAGGAAGAAAGAAGAAAAGCTTCAGCTTGTATGTAGGATAGTAGACTTGCATCTTACTGACTAGTACTAGGAAGAAAAAGGATGTACTGTCACCAGCAGTCTCTTAAAAAACTGATAGGTAGAAAATTTTAGCAAAACAGCTTGTAAGGAAAAATACTTCTGAGAATAAAAGTATTGGGCAGAAGAGAGCTACCTCTAGTCTTACCAAGTCTGTAAGAACTGTCTTAAGAAACAGTACTGCTTCCAGCATTTAAAAATGGGGTGTTCTGTGGAGTGCAGCTCTTCATGGCTTGTCTTTGAGGCATCTGTCTTTGGGGCATTAATTGTCTTGCTCTGATCACCTCATAGTTACTGGTCTTGGTTAGTAGTTCCGTTTCCTTCTGAGAGCTCAGGAGTGGAGCTGGGAGGGAGGCATGGCAAGTCTGAGACCAGGGAACTTTTCATTCTTCTCTCCCCTCCACTTGAGGGCACGTGAAAAAGCAAGCTCCGTTTCCACCCATTTCAACAGTTGCCATTCTGCTGTTTAATGAAATAGTCTCAGGAAACTGTTTAATATCTAAATCTAGGTTCTAGGATTGCTGCCAATAAAAAGTTCTGTTGAAAGACAAGCTGCATAATCAGAGCATAAAGATACTTGTGTTGTACATAATTCCTTTATCTGTAACTGTGGGTTTTGCATGTGCTTTTAATTGGTCATTTGACCGATACAGTTCAGAGATGGTGATAAAAAGAAAAAGAAACCAAGCAACTGAATCATGTAAACCTGTATTTGTCCAAGTTTTTCCAAGGAATCTTGGGTACATTTTTAAATAAATACTTGGAGTTCTATGTATGTATAGATATGGCTGTGTTTTCTCTTTTCTAAAGTGGACACTTGGTTTAAATTCAGTGGCCTCTTTTAGAGAAAGATATAGATAGATTAAAAAAACCCCAACATATCTTGAAATACATATTTATAAAAATGTAGGGGATGGCAGGGTTAGAAATACTTTGTCAAGCAGGATTTCTGGAAATATGGAGTATGCAAGTGAACGCTGACAACGTGTTGTTTATGTGCTTAGCAAAATATTCTAATAGTTCATCTTGCTATGAGAGAGTATATTTAGTAATAAACTTATAGGACTAAAGCCTGCCCAAATCATTGCTTTGTAGAGCAGACTAAACACGGATTTGTTTGGGGTTTTTTTTGTGTTGTATGTTGTTTTGTTGTGTTTTTTTTTTTTTTTTGTTTTGGGTTTTTTTTATGAGACTTCTTTAGTGAAGTTGCCTGTGTTTAATCTTCTAGTGGAGAATTTCAAGTGAGTATGTACATGTTGAAGGTATGTCAACTGTCTGATGTTTATCTTCAACTGGGTTAACATTCTGTAATCAAAATGATGTAATGGAAAAGCTTTTAGCAATTTAAAAAATTTTGAAGCCATATATTCTGGAGATTAGGTTGACTCAGGTAAGACATTTAGATAAAAAATTATAAAATAGGCTTTCTAGAAGAGACTCCTCGTTAAGCCTTTTTGATTACTTTCGTTTGAAAGAAGAGGGAAGTTACTTCTTGCAACTGTGTTTCTCTCTCCTTCCTCTGTTGTATTACTGGGCTGCTGTTTTTTTAAAACACATGGACCATAGAACTGTTGGGAAGTCTGTGCTTATGTGACTGCTTAGAAGGCTCTGGTTTTTTGAGTTTAGCTGAGCAGCTCTGCTAAGGAAGCTTTCAACAGTTCATGGCTCAGGAGAACTCTGTACTACTATCACATTACAGGACTGAAACTGTTTTCTATCCTTAGAAGTTGTTCAACTGATATATGCAGGTGTTGGCATCTTTCATGGAATCCATCCCACTGGTATTGTTTACATTTATGTATTATTTTCTAGTGTTTGAGTGCTAAGATAAAACTTAAAACCATTGTGCAGTAAGTTTGTGGCTATGGTATAACATTCTCCCAGCTTTTTTGAGATGTTTAGACAAAAGTCCCTTTTATTCCTTGCATTATGTATAATGCTTTTGCAGGCAAGCTTCATGCTTTTGAAAATGGCATTTGTATTGTCGGCTGGAGTTGGTCTTAATATCTTCACTCCGTCACTATCTCATTTCTGGCTGACACACTTCCTGCTATTCATGTCTTATTTTTCTTTTGAGAAAAGACAGTCAGATTCTGTAGTGGTTTTGTACTGGATACAAACATCCCTTGTAGGCAAAAGGATGAGATCACTGGAGTTTTTTACATTTGTGACCAAAGTAGAATCAGAGCTAAAGTCCCAGAGATTGAATTTAGATGTATTTACACAACTCATCTTTTAGTATTTTTAAATATAAAATAAGCACTTGATCAGATGTGTTGAAAATGTGTATGTTGAATATGTAGTAATTTTATAGTAGGTTTAGTATTAAAAGAAGCAGAGTTACTTTTTCCTCAAATATGTAAACTTTAGGGTTGGTATCAGTGAAATGAAGCATGACTTTCTGTGTGATACATGTTTCATAGGGTGCTTATCGATTGTAAATTCTGTTTCAGTAGATTACTAGTTGGTATGTTAAACTTTTATATCTGTGTCTCAGGTTGACAGTGCACTGACAATGTATTAGCAAATCTTAGGATATATAATAAAAAACTAAAGAAGAAATGTAAAAGCAGTGTAACTTTGTTTCTTCTGACAGCTTTAAGTCATTAACTGGAAAATAAACACTAGCCACTGTGCATCTTTTCTGTTGGTTACATTTCAGTAAGTTAGTTCTGCTTTGACTGTTCTCTCTTGGCTTTTGCTTCATGCTAGGCATGGAACAGAACTAACATGATTAAAATCAGATTCCAGTGTGTAAACTAGGGAGAGTACTTCTTTGTTTGTTTTGTTGTGGTTGTTTTGGTTTTTTTAAATAAGCATTAAAACCTGTGAAAGATAATACTTTTGTAATAAACTCTGTAATGATTGAACTTCTTCCTCTCTCAGCCTTATTAAGTGTTTACTTAAAGGTTAAGACAATGTTTGCTTAAAGGCTAATTTGTTATAATCTAGTTCATAAGTGGGTTTACCATCTTGGTATGTGTACATCCATATATACTCTGCTAATAATGCCTGTCTGGATTAATGGCTAATCTGGACCTATGAGGTCCACATTAGTATGAGAAGTCATTATATTGGTGTGCTGTTAGTGTGAGTATTTTATCTACTGTAGTAACTGAAGCTTGTGCACAGTCAGTTTGCTATGGAACAGTGCACCAAAAAACTGTTAATTTTCACAAGTCATGTTGGATATTATCAAGTAATGACTTGAGCTTGTGTCTGTCATTTCAAGAGCTGGTAAAAATAATGTTACAAGATTATAGACATTCATGGATTAGTTCTCTGGTATTTGTTAGGAAAACAGGATGTTTAGGGGTTTTAATGAGGATTGGTTTATATATCAGTGTTCTACCAGTTTTGGTGAACTGACAGTAATGAAACCCCTGTGACAACAGCAGAGCTCATCATAGCATTGCAGCTGGAGGAAGAGGACAAGCATTTCTTTACTTGTACCCTCCAAATTAGGAACTGTTAGCAAGTAGTTGCACCCTCTACGTGGATTGCTTTGTGTTGATACTGTATATGAACAGTCTTGTTAGTGTTAATTAGGAGTTAAACAGATTCTAAACTATGCAGTAATAAGGGCTTGGTTTGGGCAGTGAACAACTTCAAATGTTGATCTGTCCCCAATTTTAAAGGATAAAATAATTAAAAAAAAAATTTACCAAAACCTTTATGTAGAAGTAACACTCATTCTGGAAATTCATAGTGAATTCAGTACTAAACTCCATTAAGAATACCTCTCTCTTCTCAGATCTTCCATCTGTAACTGGTTGATTCTGATTTCTGGAAGTATACAATTGTGACCAAGTACAACTTTCTAGTTGACTGTATATTTAAGAAAATTCCGGTTCTGTCTAGTCAGCACTTGAAAATGTCAAGCATCCCATTTGAGGAATGTCTAGTAGCATACTACTGAAGTATGTTTTTTTTTCTTTTGCATATAACAACTCTCCTGAGAAGTTGCTAGATGCTTTCTGCATTAGATGTAAATGACTTTTTAAGAGCCATCTCTTTAGAGCACAGGAGCAGGCAATTCCAAAGTGTCAGAAGTCAAGCAAGTGGGGGGGAAGGCCAACTACTTTGGCTGAGCAGGGATTTTCTTCTAGAGCTTGAACAGAAAAGTGTACAGACATTGGAAGCAAGCACAGGCAACAAAGGAGGATGCTGTTTCTCACTGTAGGGAGAAGATTGGAGTTCAAGCTAGCCAGCATGTGAAGGACAACATTTTAAAGTGTGTTAACATCAAAAGGAGGATTAGAGATAACATTGATCCACTGCTTGGTGTGGTCCATCACCTCACAAAGGAATGTAGATAGCAAGTGGAGACATTTAATCCTAGGGTAATTCTAGTTATGCATACAGATGAGGGGATGAGAGGTTGGAGAGCAGCCCTTCAGAAAGAAATCTGGGGATTTGAGTTGATGGCATATTGAATCTGAGTTCACAGTGTGCCCTGGTAGCCAAAATGGCCAACTGAGGCGCATCAAGCACAGCTTAGCCAGCCACACATGGGAGGCAGTTGTCCCACTCTACACTGCACTGGTGCAGTCCCGTCTCAAGTACTATGTGTCATTTTGGGTGGCTCAATATAAGAAGGACATCGAACTATGAGTGCGTCTGGAGGAGTGTGACTACAATGGTAAAAAGTCTTGAGGGCAAGTCTTGGGAGGAGTACCTGAGGTCACTTGGTGTGTTCAGCTTGGAGAAGAGAAGGCTGGGGGGTGACCTCATGGCAGCCAACAAGTTCTGCAGGGGAGGCAAGAGGCATGGAGGTGCTGAACTCCTCTCTCTGGTGACCAATGATAGGACACAAGGAGGTGGAATGGCGCTCCATCAGGGGAATTTCATATTGGCATTAGGAAAAGATTATTCACTGAGAGAGTGGTTTGTCATGGAACTGGCTCTGCAGGGAAGTTAAGGCATCAAACCTTTCACAGTTCAAGGAGCATCTGAATGATGCTCTTAGTCATATGGTTTAGTTTTAGGTAGTTGTGTGGGGACTTGGGAATTTGACTTCATGATCCATATGGGTCCCTTCCAACTTGAGATATTCTGTGATTCTATTTATTCTTCTAAGAGAATGAGAGAAGACACAAACAGCTGGAGGCCAGCTCTGCAGAAAATGACCGGGGGGGGTCCTAGTTTACCTGGTGTGCTGTTGCAACAAGGAAGGCTAATGGTATACTGGGTTATGTTAGGAGGAGTGTTGCTAGCAAGTCCAGAGTGGTGGTCCTTGCCCTGTCCTCAGCACTGGTGAGGCCAAACCTGGAATACTGTGTCCAGTTTTGGACTCCCCAGTACAAGAGATATGTGAAGCTACTGGGGGAAAGTGCCAGTAAGATAATGAAAGGTGTGGAGCATCTCCCGTATGAAGAAAGGCTGAGAGATATTTTACAAAGATCTGAAGAGTGGGTATGAAGACAATGGAGCCAGGCTAATTTCAGTGTCTTTAGTGACAGAACTAGAGGCAGGGTTCACAAATAGAAATACAGGAAGTTCTGTGTGCACATGAGGGAACAATTTTGACTGTGAGCATAACCAAGCTCTGGCTCAGCTTTCCCAGAGAGGTAGGTCTTTCTAAATACTGTTTTAACTCTTACTCTGGCTGTTATTGGACTGAGATCTGCAGTGAGTGTTACATCTTGTGGTTCAGGGAATACAAGATTGGTCAGTGTGAATTCTTCACAGCTTCTGGAGTACAGTAGAAATGTTCACTGTACACAGTTATGCAAAATACTATTTTTTATTATGCACATCAGAGTTTGTATGTTCTTCGTAGTCTTTAGTTGCAGGCTATTGTGGGTTATTTTACAAGTGTTATTACTGAGGTTTTGTAAATTTTTTGTAATCTTGGCATCTTTTAAGTAGGGAAAAATCTGCATAAATATTAAGTAGTTCCATGATGGAAAGAAGGAAGAGGATGGAAAGGTAGTATGAGCTTAGATAGAAAAAGTGGTAGTTGTATCTCACTCTCGTTAATATCACTGTAGTTAATGTGCTATTAATATTTGTCAGAATATAAACAGTGGTTGTGGAACTTTTAATGATGGTGTTTACTTGAGGTTTTTCTTCCTCTCTTTCACTTCATTTAATTCTTCCTCAAAATAGGAGATTCTGGTGTCTGGGGCTTGAAAAAGAATTTTGCTTTGTTGGAACTCTTGGAACGGTTGCAGAATGGACCGGCTGGGCAGTGTGGGACAGCAGAAGAAGCCATTGGGCTGTCTGGAGAGGTACTGAGTTTTAAACAAAGCAAAAAGTTGTTAAATTTGCTTAAGCTTATCTCCTGATAGGTAAAAAAAAGTCATTTCCCAAATGTAATTTTACTAGTAATGCTGTTTTATTTCCATATCTAGTATTAAGGCATCAATTAATTGTTTTATAATTAAATGCTAATCTGTACTGAATAAAACAGAAAATAAAAAGGTATTGCCAAGCATGCATATTCTTCCCTTTTCTAGATTTTTAAGGTTTTTAGGAAAGATTACTTATTTGGCTATTTTAGTTACAGTGATTTAAGAACAATTTTCTAAAACTTCTCAAACTCCTTCCAAGGCTTCAGCTCTTAGTAGTTGCCTTTTATAGTAATTTGATACCACTACATCACATGTCAGTACTTTGTTAACAAAACTGGCTACTTCAATAATTTCACTATGAACAACTGGTAGACAAAAAGAATAATACAATGCCATTTTAGGAATAGATCACTGTTCTAAGTGCCTGTTGATATTTTGTCTGTCTGTAACTTTGTAATTATTTGTTCTGTAATGACTGTTTTGGAGGAAATAACTGGAGCCTAAGTTGTTTTATCCTCCAAATCTTTACAACTTCCACTGAAGTTTCAATTTACAAAACCATAGAAACCTCTAGACTACTCTGTTGGAGTTGACTGTTATGGAAACTGACTTTGATTTTTTAAAAATTAGTTGAGAACTTAAAATCAAATTTTCAAAAGAGTCCAAGTATTTATTCATGTGTAACTTTTAAAGAAAGTGTGTTTCCAGGCTTATATTTGTGGTAGGTCTTATGATTTTCCTCAGTTGTTTGGGTTAAATGTTAATAACTTCAATTTTGTTGTTTTTTATTTGTTAGAGTATCATTCGTTGCGATGAAGATGAAGCCCATGTTGCATCTGTATATTGCACTGTTTGTGCCACTCACCTGTGTGCAGACTGTTCCCAGCTTACTCATTCTACGAAGACACTAGCAAAACACAGACGTGTGCCTCTTGCTGATAAGCCTCATGAGAAGACCATGTGCTCCCAACACCAAGTGCATGCTATCGAGTTTGTTTGTTTAGAAGAGGGCTGTCAGGCCAGTCCTCTTATGTGTTGTGTCTGCAAAGAATATGGGAAGCATCAAGGTCATAAGGTACCGCTAATAATCTGTTTCTACTCATGCTGTGGGGTGGCTTCCATAATTATTTATCCAATTAAAGTACAAAGAAGGGCGGAATCTCGTTAAGTCTTTGTAATAATAACTTAATACTGTTCTTTTGTTTTCCCTTTGTTTAAGATGACTGCCATGGTAAAATTACAAGAAAAAAACCATATTTCTAAGACCACAATAACTTACTTATTCGTTAAGATGGACTATCCATTTATGTGATGCTTTTCTGAACTTCTCACAGTATTGAGTCACTAGTTCTGATGTTGTTCCAGTCATGCAAATGCTAGGTTCATCCAATGGTGCAGTCTAACTACCCTTCTTTGTTTATAATTGATTATGGTAAGCAGGCAAAATGGTATATTTGCTTATGTAATTGCTAGATGCCTGTCTTAGTCTAAGCATGATCTGTAGGTCATGACTGCTTTTTAAATTTCCAGATGGTTTTACATTATTGCACCTTTCCTGTGTAAATGTATGTATGTACACATAAATATACGCTCACATATGTATATTTAATACCTATTAAAAGAGACAATATTATTAAGGGAGGTATTTATTGATCATTGATATGTTGCTTTTAATTAATAGCATTCTGTCTTGGAACCAGAAGCAAACCAGATTCGTGCATCCATTTTAGACATGGCCCACTGTATAAGAACTTTCACAGAAGAAATCTCAGATTATTCCAGAAAATTACTTGGAATTGTTCAGCATATAGAAGGAGGAGAACAAATAGTTGAAGATGGAGTTGGAATGGCCCATACTGAACATGTACGCTCTTTTTTTTTTCCCCCACATGCACAGAATATTTGCTTTTTTTAATAACCAAGATAAGAAATTTCTTTGAAAATTATCCATAAGTTTTACAAGGCAAGACGTTAACTTCTTACCTCTACCAAGTTGGCATTGAGTCTTAAGCCAATATATAAGAGGAGAACTTACATTATAATGTTTTTAGGCTACAGTAAAACAGGGAGACAGTAAGGAAAGCTGTATAGCTGCTAGCACAGTATTGAAGTACTGTGACGGATTTATTCTGTTTTTCGGTGCTGTGATAGTGTTGAGGCTTTTTCCACTGGTTGTTTTTAGTAACGTGTGTGTACACGCAAATAAGCTGCTTGATTACTGGAGTAACTTCTTGGAGAATCTTAGATTTAGGACTGATAAGACTTTCTGTGTAACTGAGACTTCAACTGTGATGTAGCCAAGTGGATGTGAACATAATTTAGAAACTGGGATTGAAAAATGTACTTCTGAAATCAACTGCTGGTCCCTAATCCTCTGGATCTCCTGACTGCAACACTGCAGGTACCAGGGACTGCAGAGAACGCTCGCTCATGTGTCCGAGCCTATTTTTCTGATCTTCATGAAACACTTTGTCGTCAGGAGGAAATGGCTCTTAGTGTTGTTGATGCTCACGTGAGAGAGAAGTTGATTTGGCTTAGGCAACAGCAAGAAGACATGACCATCCTCTTGTCACAGGTTTCAACAGCTTGCCTTCATTGTGAAAAGACTTTACAACAGGTAGGTTGGCAAGTGAGTTGTAACATGTTGCAAGATAAGTGGAACTGCAAATTAAGTTTAGGTTACAAGCAGTGATACTTCGCATTTTAATTTCCTTTACAATGTTATAACAATAACGATATAACGCGAGATTGGAGTATTCATTACAAGGTGTTAGATCAAGGGTAATTGGTACAAAAGCATTGAATCCTACAGTTGCTGAAAAGCTGGTGGCATGATTCCCTTTCTGGATATTTATGAGGTTAATTGGAAGGAGAGATGAAACTGAAGCAAAAAGCTACAAGATATATGGGAAGGATGTTACAGTTGCAATTACTAGTATGGATGTTTGAAGATAGTTGTCATATGAGTCTGGAAGGAAAAAGCTTTTAGGACTAAATAAGTTTACCTGTAGTAAGTATAATTCAACATATTCAATGTGTGAAGAAAGTGGCTATATGAGAGTATCTGATTGGTCCATTATTCACTTAATTTAGTGATAGTAAGAAGTAAATAGTATGTGTAGCAGACAGTAAGTTGTGAGAAGTTACTACTTTAGTGTATTGTTTGCACTTTTTTTATAATTTGTTTAGAGATGGTGTCTGGTTGCTTAGTTGTATGTACTTCTAACTATGCAAATGTTCCTATCGTTAATGGGTGGATATTAACTTTCTGTGTTAAGTGTGTGGTTGTATGCTGCAAAACAGCTGCTCTGCTCTAGCTGCTGGAATGATATATGTATGATGTAAATATTATTTATGTATTACATTACTGTCTCTTTATAATTTATATCCTTATTCCTACAGGACTCAGGGAGGTAAAAAAAAGGTTTTGTAAAAATTAAGAACTACTTAGTATCTATTAGCATTAAGGAGAATTTACAAGGCCTTCATATTTGTGTTTCAATTTAAAGTGAATCTGGTTTGTAAATGTGAGTTTCTTTAAATGGCGTATTTCTGTTTGAAATGCTTTATTTCCAGCCATCATGTTTACATTGTGTTTGTTTTGTTTTAAGTAAGTTACTAAAGGAAAGGCACGCTTTTCTTTATCTGTTTAGGATGACTGCAGAGTAGTGTTGGCCAAACAGGAAATTACGAGATTGCTAGAGACCCTACAGAAACAGCAGCAGCAGTTTACAGAACTTGCAGATCATGTGCAGCTGGATGCTAGCATACCTGTCACTTTTACAAAGGTATTCTTTATCTCATGAAGGCTCATTATACACTTTATGAAGTCCCAAATGTAATTTAAAAGAAAGCAGGAATAGTGTCTTTGTTATGAGGCTGCATTTGTTGGAGCAATTCTAGGCAGTTCAGTATCAGTTAAAGCCACAGTGTCTTATATGACGAGTGCCATGTGAGAAACATTTGGTTGGCCTTGGCTACATAAGTACCTTTGCATGAACATCAGCTGCTTTCTTTTAAATATGTAAGATAGTATTTGTGAGTTCAAGAAATGTCTTTGGGAACATCACTAATTTGTTGTACATTCCACTCAGACCAGGAATCTGCCCTTTATTCTTCCATGCATTACAGCTTTTTCATGAGGCAGCATAACTTCTGCAGAATGTTTACTATTTGATTTCCTGAAAATTGCATGCATATTTTAAATGCAATATTGTTGTTATAACTTTCAGTTTATAATTTAAAAATAAGGTATTCCTTTCAGTTTGTAAAAATTTGTCATATTTGTCATATGAACTTTGCTTTCACCAATACATTAGATTTTTGTATTGCTTTAATACAATTTTAATGCCACCTGTTCTTTAAAAGGGATCTTTGAAGACATATTAGCATATGCTTTTTTCCAAAAGTTGTTGATACATTGTTTCCAATGGATCCTTCCTTACCTATATAGTTGAGGACTTTGACCCAATACATTGAGATGTGTTCGTATACTAAGCTTCTTGACAAGGAAATGGCTCCTCATCCCGGAGTGTGATCCTTGTTTGGAGAGATTGCTGTTTTGTCCTGGTGAAATGAGAGCAGTGGCTGTGGAGTGGTATATATAGGGATAGTGACTGATCATCCTAAATACGTGTGTGTACATACTAAGGTGAGGGAAAGTGAGTAAGCAAACAGTACCTGAGATAGTAAAGAACCCTTGTCCGTCAGTGTTGAAGCAAATACGGGAAACTGCTAGCCGTTTATCAATGCTCAGAGTACTTAAGAAGACAGTATTCTATCGGAAGGAAAACACTTCACACTAAGTAAACCTATGTACAGCTTTTGTCATGTCAACCAATTTTTAACGAAGGACAAGGACAAAAATCAAGATAGGGTTGTTGTGATGGGTTTTTGTTCTGTACTTTCTGTACTGTGATTTAAGTACACAACAGTTTTTACTTGAACAGAAGTCACAGATTTACCTGTTTTTAAGTATGCTAGCAAGTTATGCATCTGCTAGAACTGCAGTCATGAAGGGGTTTTACTGGCCAGATTTTTTAAGATAATATTTTTAATTAAAGGTGCTAATACAGTTGCTGCAGAGGTATTTTTTTATGCCTGTCAATTTCTTGCTGCAATCATCAATAGATTTACATTACAGGAGCTATACATTGATTTCTGAATAGAAACATTTCTTGGAAGGTTCTTCCTGAGGTGACAGATCTTCAAAAAGTGAAAATTTGGTGTCTGTCACAGATTGCATTTTGATGCTTTCTGAGAGAGTAGGAACATCTGAAGAATAACTTGTTTTCACTTGAGGCCTTACAAAAAGCAAACCGTGACAGGATGGCTAAATTTGACTGAATCATTCTTCTCCTCCACTTCCCTAATGCTCAAAGTTGCACAGCTAATACTGCCCTCCAGCTGTGAGAGCTGTGGAGGTGACTGGTGCTTATAGTGGAGCCCTGAGAGGACAGCCCGGCTGGCTCACTGTTGGCAAGCCTTAGCCACAATCAGGGTGTTGTGTCCAGCAAAAAACCTTTAAACTTAGTAGCTGTATCCAGAGCTGCCCCTTTTCATTCCTCCTTTCACGGACAGAGCAGAACTGGGGAGATTCATCCCCAGAAATTTTGGGCAAAATGAGAACTGAGGCTTGAGTGTGTGAAAGGTGAGGGAAGCATGGCATTTTTAAGACTCTTAAGTGCTTTTTGCATTTTTTGTTGTGTTCTTTCTCATTGTCTGCACCTTTCTTGCTGTGATGCTTGTGAATAATTTGCTCACAGGGTTTTCTCCAGAAGGAGATAATGTGGTATGTTGCAGTGTTGTCCCTGAATTTGACATCAGCTCTGAATCAAAAAATCTAGAAATTGGAGGAAATCTATTAAAAAGCAAATAAGTTTAAATGTTTTATTTTCCAAATCTCAAATATTCAGTTAGTATTTTGGTTTTGAAGCATCTGCCTTGTGTAGTACCAGAGTTGCAGTGCTGAAAGTGCTCTGCTTGTGCAATTTTATTTCACAGACTCAGTCACTTTTTTCACAACACATAGTCTGTGGAGTTCTATGCCTAAATGTCTGTGGTTTCAAGAAGGAAACATGCATAGATTAATAATACATCAAGATCTATAGGTTGCAAGAGGCACGCTGTTGACGTGGTGAGTCCATGAGCTGCAAGCTGTTAGACACAGGGAGGGTACTGAGGGGAGTCCAGGCCATGTGCTTTTGCTGTTCCGTACCTTCACATATATCCATCTTTACCTGGTTTCAGACAACTTGCTAGATAAGATGGACCTTTGATCTCACTCTTACACTTAAGATCATGATGCTGCTGACTTTTGCATTGTGGTGTTTGCATTTTTAAAATTTATTTTCTTTTAGAAGGTAGTTTCTCAGTGTTTTTAGTCTGTTTAGAAGCTGCAGTATCATATAGTCATTGAATTAATCTGTAGTGATTATTCTGGCTGCTTCGTCTGTGACAGAGGATAGAATGGAATTGCACATCATGATGACATATATCTGGCTACATAATGGATCCTTTGTGTGTGTGTATGTATATATCAAGTCACATGATGTAGGTGTATATACATTCAGTCACAGGTGCATGTTGGTCTTGTACCAAGAGAGGTTGTAGCATTTTTTGCACTCAATATCATTTCAAATGCAAAAAGAAATAAAAAGCTCTGTGTGTGTGTGTATATATATATAGATACACACATATACAAAACCCCTCGGATTTTTGTATATTGCTAGCCCATCACAGTGCTGTCTGGATTTTGCAAGAAAACAAATATATTGCCACATAGTACTAATGATGGAAACTCTGGTACCTTATCAAGGTACTTATCTAAGTACTTCAAAATATATTTCAAAGATACATAGTAATCATAGACTACATTGTTTATTTTACAATTGACACATCGCTGCTTTGTATTAGCAATACCACTTGATTGAATTGTTACTATCAGCTTTTTCCATACTCATGGTAGCTTGGTCTGAATGACAGTCTTGCCTTGCCTCCAAGCAAGACTTGGGTTGTTTTATTTTCTTCACTATTTCAGATCGCTGCTTGATACTAATCATGTTGCTGTTGTGTCACGGTAAAGGATTGGAAGAGGCAGGTACAGTGTCCAGCAAGGAAATAGTTCTGTATGTGGGAGCATTAATCATGTGACAGAACATAGTGGAACAGCTCTGGTCAGACAATTCTAATTGCTACAAACAAGGCATGTGTTAACTCATGCAGAAGTTGCAGGTCCATGACGGAGATTATTGGATACTTTAATTTATGTTATTACTGGAGGTGCTTGGTGATTGTACCTTGGATTCGTAGTGTCCATCCATTTAATCACTTTGCAAATAGTGACAAGGTGTGTATCTTAAAGATAAGAGTTTTCTAATTTGAATTTCCTACACTTTCCCTTTTTGTATGCTGTTTCTTTCAGGACAACAGGGTACATATTGGACCAAAAATGGAAATTCGGGTTGTCACTTTAGGATTAGATGGAGCTGGCAAAACAACTATTTTGTTTAAGTTAAAGCAAGATGAATTCATGCAGCCAATTCCAACAATAGGTTAGTAGCAACAATTTAAATGTATTGATTTTTCTAAATGTTTTACTTACCTGTAGGGTTTTTTTAATATATATTCATACAGAACAAGACTAAAAAATTCTTAATATTTTTATTCTAGGTTTTAATGTTGAAACAGTAGAATACAAGAATTTGAAGTTTACTATTTGGGATGTAGGAGGGAAGCACAAATTGAGGCCCCTGTGGAAACATTATTATCTCAATACACAAGGTGAGACTAAAAGAACTTTTAAACTCAATTTTCTCTTCTAGCTTGTATTTCAGAGCCAAAAAGGTTATTATTAGAAATAATTTTTAACTGTAGAAAACTGTTCATCTAATGCAAAGTGCAGCTGCTAGAATCATGAGCTAAGAAATTTTAATCCAGTTGGTCATAGTGTCTGCTGCATGATAAAGGTGCATTCTTCATAAATCCATCAGACAGTTCATGGAGCCAAACAAAATTAGAATCTCTTAAACTGGTTCTAGCTGACAGCAGACAAGTTGGCACAGTGAGAAGTAGTACTTGCCAGGTATGAAATTTAAATAGCACTTGAAATGAAAATGCTCAGACTTTAGGAGCCTTATTTGGCAACTTAAAAGTTCTACGAAGTTCTGTAACCTCTGACTTATTATTGCAGTGTAATATCTGGACATAGCCTAGACTACTGATTCTGAAAACATTGTTATAAATGGTGCTGATTTAAAAAATTAATGCTGTCCTTCCATGGTAGTTTTTCAATTTGGAAAGGTGTTTGTCTTTATTAATTAATTCACAATTATCTGAAAGACTTCTGAATGGCAAACACCAGTTTGTGTGTTCCACTTTGTGCATTATTTCAGCCTTCATTGCATTCTGAATTGTTCATCTTTTCAAACTTTTAAAAAACTTTATTTTGGGATTTCTGTTGTCCTCTTATATTGTGTGAACACCAGTAGCACGGAATTACATCTATCTTGAAGGATTGTATGTTGGAGAGAAAGTCTTAAGCAGTTAACTTGGTGTATACCTGCAGTTAAGTTTTGTTTAGTTTGGTGTTGTGGGTTTTTTCCATTGCAAAAAACATGAATTTAAATTCTGTCCTCTAGTTTGGCCTCCCTGACTCTTCAGTCTTTCTGGTGTGTTGGTTACGCTCTGGATAGTAAAATCTGCTGCTGCTGTGTAGGGTCCATGGGAATATTCTCTGGATTCTGTAGTTTGTAGCTGCTGTTTTGGCCAAACTTGTAAATTTTACTGGCAGTTAAGAGAAACTGGATCAATAATGTGGGCGTTATTTGAGTGTAAATGGATCAAGATATGGTTTAAACCAAGATACTCAATCCACACACAGTTATTCTGGTTTTAGACCTAAGTAGTTAAAATAACACAGCCCTTACGTTTAACTAGGCAAAAAATGTCAGACTTATTTTTCCCTGGTTTAGGATTAATTCTAGATTTTTGTCAGAAGTATAGAGTTATGTAAGGGATTTCTCAGTCCTCTTGGACTTGAAACTGAAGTTGTGCACTGCTGAGAAACCTCACGTAGAAGACTACTTGAAAAAAAGAATTGCGTAAGTTGTAAGCTAATTCTACACAGTTGATACTTGAATGCATGTAAAACATTTCTCTCTTTCATAGCGGTGGTGTTTGTTGTCGATAGCAGTCACAGAGACAGGGTCAGCGAAGCACACAGTGAACTTGCAAAATTAATAACAGAGAAGGAATTGCGGGATGCCTTGCTCTTGATCTTTGCTAATAAACAGGTACTTTAGATTTTTTTAATTCTGTCACTCTTTTTGCCAGTTTGTGTATCAAATTCCAGCTTCCTAATCCTCTGCTAGGCGTAGGGAATGGTCATGCAGAAATCATCAAATGTAGATGCTTTCCTTATGTTTAATGCAGGTAAAATAAGTGATGCTAGAGTGCTTAGGAGATTCAACAACTAGTTTATGGTAACAGCTAGTAAATGTATAAATGTTTTATTTGGCTTTTGTGTTTGGAAAGCTTTTATGTCATCTGTAGATTCAGACTAAGCCTGATTAGTCTAATTCTTCAGCCTTAATACAGAAGAATAATTGAGTCTTTGTGTCTGATTCTGTTGCAGGATGTAGCAGGTGCGCTTTCAGTGGAAGAAATCACAGAACTGCTTAGTCTCCACAAACTCTGCTGTGGCCGTAGCTGGTATATTCAGGGTTGTGATGCTCGAAGTGGTATGGGGCTCTATGAAGGACTGGACTGGCTTTCAAGACAGTTAGTGGCCGCTGGTGTCCTGGATGTGGCTTAATTTTACAGCACCTGCAATTTAGGTTGTAGTTTACTGATTTGTTTTGTTTGCACGATTTAGTATGTAGCCAGGTCTGCTATCTGAAGAGAGGACTTTATTTAACTTGGTGGTTACAGAAGAATATCCTATATTGGATAGTTGGTTCAGTAAACTTGTGCTGTTGCAGTGTTTTTGAAATTTGATACGTTTGCAAGTAATGGAATGAGCTCGTTACAAGGGTGCCTTGAAATTGTTTTTGCTGCAGTTAGCTTGGTACAATTTTTAATTCTTCCTTGATAAAATAGGGATTTGAGTTAATTTAATATTTATAACAAGGTTACAGAAGTTAACTGGTGTCAGAAAAAATCTGAGTGGCTTAAAAATACATTCCCAAGAAATTATTCCAAAATCCATCCCAAGTTACTAGAATAGCCAGCTCTTTCTATTAGTTAGAAATAAATGGTACTACTCTTTAACAAATGCATTCATCTAATGGTGGCGTTGAATATTACATGGAAATACATCACAAAAAGAAAATGTTTCCTCCATTGTTTATTAGCTTCCCTGTTTATTACTGGAAGACATCATAACTGAGCAAAGAGAACTGAGAATGGGGAACAGTGTTGCAAGAGTAGAGGGCTGTGGCACTGTTTAGCTAGTAATGTTCTACTTGTGGGGGAAAGGTTTAGTTGGGTTATTTTGTTAATTGTACACATGCTATATTATTTGTGGACAGACTATAGTGATACTGAGATGGAAGTGTTTTGTGTGTGCTTGAGCACATAATCTGCCTTTACAGATTAAGTTTACTCCTCAAGAAGACAAATGAAGTTTAAAACAAAAAAAAACTTCTTAAAGAAGTCTGTGGTATCATGTCAATCCAGCTATGTTTTCTTATGTAGAAGTCAGGCTTTCAGATTAAGGTAGTGGCCTTAAAATATTAAAAACATAGTGTAAAAGAAGTGTACACTCATTATAACTCTAATGTAGAAGAGCAGATGGCAAAATGTGATACAAATCTTCCATAATACAGTTCTTACTGTATTTTTTACATGGAACTGCCACCTACACCTCTGTTTTCAAAGATTACTCATTCACAAGCCCATGATATATGGGTGTAGCACTGTTTAAATTTAGAGGAGTTTGCAGTGACTTAGTGATGTCTCTTTTTCTGCTGCACATGCAACTCTGCTAACAATTTAGTTTGCTGTGTGAACCAGAACCTTCTGCCCCCCTCTTTGAGTGCACAGCCATTGCCAATTGCCAAAGCCATGCATGGACCTATTCATGTTGGTAAAGGAACTAGAAAGAGGTAATAGGTCAAAACTGCTTGTCACTACTTTTCTTTCTGGAGTAGCATTGAACTGGGAGAACCAGACAGTGGAGGAGAGCAGTGTTTTTTCACAGATGGGCAGATATTTTTTCTACATTAAAAATAATGTTTACCTGTGAAAGTCCTGCACCTCACCTGGCAAAGCAAATGTAACCCATTATCTGTGGCTATGGCTTTTATTGTAATATTATCAATTATGTTTTCGCACTACATACCTTAGATAAAGCAAAGAATGTGTAAACTAATAATTTAGTACATTTGCACTTTTCTTCAGTGACAGTTACTTGTAGTTTTCTTTTGTTACTTAAATTTCATGTAAATGGTATTAAATGCTGCTTCAGTTTATGCAAGTCTGATGACCTGAATAGTAGCAGAAAGAACACTAAGCTTTAAAATAGTCAAATGCTTAAGAAATGGGCTTTAATGCCTATGGATAGGTAGGTAGCGAGAAGGGGTATTTACTCTTTCTTCAGACAACCTGATACATTTGGAAATAGGTTACAATGGAGTGAACTGTTTTCTTGCACCAACTGAACTAGAAATTATTCATCCTTTCCAGCCAGTAACTTCTTGCACAAGCCAGTTGGCTGCTCTGACTTGTGCATCTGCTTAGCCTGTACTGCAGAGCAGACCCAGACCTTCTTAGAGCTTACTGTCTCTTCATAGCTTTTTAAAATATGAGTAAATTCTGCTAGGCATAATAGGTACCTCTTCCTTGAGTATTTTTAACTGAGAAGATAGGCATTCTTTAGAAAAATCCCAATTCTGTAATTTTATTTTAGCTGGCTTATGCTTCAGTTACACATGCCTCTCAGTATAGATCTACTTCAAAATGTTAAAGGTCACCAGTTTGGATTTTTTGTAGCATCACATTTGAGGGCAGAGGAATACTGAATGCCTATTTTTGAGTACTAAGGATTGCTTGTTACATATGGAATGCTACCATAAGTGTTTTTAAATGGAATTTATTTACCATGACTTGAAGAAACTGTGAAAGTGTTGCATTAGTCTGTGAACTCTTTAGTGTAAACAGGTACACTAAGAGGTTTATTTGTATTATAAATTAATACTACAATATAAACTGCTTCAGTTATAAACTTAAGCTTGTTTCACCAGTTTTACTGAACTTTGGCTTTCAGTGTAGATTTACACAGTATGTAGTTGAAATAGTTCCTCAACTAGAACTCACTCAAGCATTACTAACTATGAGGATTATTTGAAAAGACTGAATAACTTTTTGTAGGATTTTGACTTAATTGTGAAATTGAGTAAATAAAACATCCAGTGATGGCGTTGTGGCTTTTCTTAAAGAATCTCAGCTCAAAAATAGTATGTCTAGCCAACTTTAAAATAATGTTTTATCACTTGATATTGTCTTACTGTATGCTACCTTCAGATTTATTGGGGATTATGTGTACATCAGGGTTTTATTCTGAGGTAGTTCTTACTCTGAACTGTTGGAGTAGGCATAGATGTAATGTAAAGATTTCATGAAAGAAAAGGCTTTCTGAGTGGAAACAATTCATGAGGTGCTGCAATTTGAGTTGGCCAGAAAATCTTTTCAATAAAAGTATGTAAAACATGAAGATTGAATTTTAATAAACTTGCGTTCTTTGTTGTTGTTAAGGTAATCAGAGAAGAGGTGTGCTACATTTAACTTCTTCCTGTTCTTCCTATTGTTCTTCCTGTTCATCCCTGATGATAACCCTTCATCTCACTGCAGATAAGCTTCCTAATGGTAGTGAATTTGATTAGCATGCATCACATCTTGTTTCATGAATGAAGTTACCAGAACTGCAAACTCCTAAGCACTGCATCAGTGCAGTGGTGTTACATGAACATAAACAAAGTTTATGTCACTGTATTTGGAGTAGATTTAACTACCCAAAATAGTAACAGGACTGTGCCTAGTCCCAGGTTCACAGCAGTTTGAGGAGCTCCCTGAGCTTTCATTGAGGACTACATCAGAAACACCTGCCTTAAGTAAGCTTAAGTTGAAATGACTACCATCATTTACTTTGAGTACTTCCATAGAAGTAGTAGTATTTGTAGCAGTTTGGAAAAAAATTAAGCCAGGAACAGACTGCCTAGGCTAAAATAATGAGAAAGGTAATGTCAGAAGAAAAAAGCATTATTGCCCATCACAGAATCCTAGGGACCTCAAAAGATCATCTAGTCCAACCCCTCTGCCAGAGCAGGGTCACCCAGAGCACATCACACAGGAACGTGTCCAGGTGGCTTTTGAATGTCTCCAGCAAAGGAGACTTCAAAACCTCTCTGGGCAGCCTGTTCCAGTGCTCTGTCACTCACAGGAAAGTTCTTCCTGATATTCACATGGAGCCTCCTATGCTCCAGTTTGCACCCACTGCCCCTTGTCCTATCACTGGTGATCACTGAAAAAAGCCTGGCTTCATCATCCTGACACTCACCCTTTACATATTTGTAAACATTGATGAGGTCGCCCCTCAGTCTCCTCCAAGCTAAAGAGACCCAGCTCCCTCAGCCTTTCCTCATAAGGGAGATGTTCCATTCCCTTCATCATTTTTGTGGCTCTGTGCTGGATTCTTTCAAGCAGTTCCCTGTCCTTGAACTGTGGGGCCCAGAACTGGACACAATACTCCAGATGTGGCCTCACCAAGGCAGAATGCCAAACAAGTTGCACAGGAGTGTATACACTGGCATTCCATGAGCTCATCATTGGTATTGGACACAGAAGCCATGTTAACACAACCATTTTTGAAGGACAGAGGTAGATTATATACCTTGTTATAGCAGACAGCATCATCACTTACCCATCTTCGGGGATAAACTTTCAGCAAGGCCTGTTGTGATAGGTCAAGGGGTAGTGGTTTCAAACTAAGAGGTTTAATTCCAACTCAATATACAAAGAATTTTTTTACAAGGAGGGTGGTGAAACACTAGAACAGGTTGTCCAGAGGTGGTAGATGCTCCTTCTCTGGAAACATCCAAGGTCAAGTCAGATGGGGACTCAGAAACATAGAATTGCTGTTTGGAAGCAACCTTTGAAGATCATGTAGTACAACCCCCTGCAGTCTTTGGGGACATCAGCTACATCAGGTTGCCCACAGCCTCATCAAACCAGAGGCCCAAGCCAGCAGTGTGCCCAGGGGGCCAAGAAGGCCAACAACATCCTTGCCTGCATCAGAAATAGTGTGGCCAGCAAAGTAGGGAAGCTGTTGTCCCCCTGTACTCAGCACTGGTGAGGCTTCACCTCAAGTACTGTGTTCAGTTTTGGGCCCCCCCCCCCGCCCACTAGAGGAAAGAGAGGGAGGTGCTGGAGAGCATCCAAAGAAGGGCAACAAAGCTGGTGAAGAGTCTGGAGTACAAGTTTTACGAGGAGTGCCTGAAGGAACTGGGGTGGTTTTGTCTGGAGAAAAGGCTGAGAGGAGACCTTATTAGTCTCTACAACTACTTGAAAGGAGGTTGTAGCAAAGTGGGGGTTAGTCTCTTCTCCCAACTAATAAGCAACAGAGCAAGAGGAAATGGGCTTAAGTTGTGCCAGGCGATGTTTAGATTGGATATTAGAAGAAATTTCTTCACTGAAAGGGGAATTAAGCATTGGAATAGGCTGCCCAAGGACATGGTTGAGTCTCCATCCTTGATAGTGTTTAAGAGACATGTAGATGTGGTGCTAAGGGACATGATTTAACACTGGACTTGGTAAGAGTTACATTAATGGCTAGACTTGATAATCTTGGAGGTCTTTTCCAATCACAATCATTACACAAGATGAAGAGTTTAATATTGTGAAAATGATTAATTAGATATGTAATAGGCAAATAAACATGAAAATGTTACAAACTACCCT